ATTTTCATTAGTTTCAAGGAATTTTTTGATTTCCTGTTTAATTTCTTCTTGGACCCTTAATCCATTGTGATCTGAAAAAATCCATGGAATAATTCCAATTTTTTTTTAATTTGTTGAGACTTGATTTGTGATCTAATATGTGATCTATCCTGGAGAACGATCCAGTGCTGATCAGAATATGAATATTCTGAGGTTGTTGGATGGAATGTTCTGTAGATATCTGCCAAGTCCAATTGGTCTAGTAAGATCTTGTGTTTCTCTGCTGATTCTTTGCCTAGATGATCTGTCTAATATTGACAGTGGGGTGTTCAGGTCCCCTGCTATTATGGTATTAGTGTCTATTTCCTTCTTTAGGTCTAATAGAGTTTGCTTTATAAATCTGGCTGCTCCAAAATTGGGTGCATACATATTTATGATTGTTATGTCTTCTTGACGGATCAATCCTTTTATCATTATGTAGTGACCCTCATTATCTCTTTTTATGGTTTTTAGTTTAAAGTCTATTTTATCAGATATAAGAATAGCTACTCCAGCTCATTTTTCATTTCTGTCTGCATGATAAATCTTTTTCCATCCTTTCACTCTTAGTCTATGTGAGTCTTTAATAGGTGAGGTGGGTCTCTTGAAGGCAGCATATAGTTAGGTCCTCCTTTTTAATCCAGTCAGCCAGTCTGTGTCCTTTGATTGGGGAATTTAATCCTTTTACACTAAGAGTTGTTATTGAGAAGTGTTGATTTACTCCTAACATTTTATTGATTTTTGTTTGGATGTCTTAAGTGTCTTTTGTTCCTTTCTTTCTGATTTACTGTTTGTTTTCTGTACTTGTTGGTTCCGTGGGTTGTGGATAAACTTTTTTTTTGTTTTCTCTTCATTGTTGCCATTTTTATTTTACTAGTGGGTTTTGATTTTTCTTGATTTTTTATGGCAGTGGTAGTTATTTTTCATGTACCAAACCCAATACTCCCTTGAGAATTTCTTATAAGGGTGGTCATGTGGTAGTGAACTCCTGCAGTTTTTGTTTGTCTGAGAAATGTATGATTTGCCCTTCATTTCAGAAGGATAGTCTTGTGGGGTTGAGTATTCTTGACTGGCAATCTCTGTCTTTTAGTATTTTGAATATATCATTCCATTCCTTTCTGGCTTTTAGGGTTTGTGATGAAAAGTCTGATTGGGGTCCCCTTATAGGTGATTTTATGCTTCTGTCTTGCAGCTTTTAAGATTCTCTCTTTGTCTTTGAGTTTTGCCAATTTGACTATAACATGTCTTGGAGAAGACCTTTTTGGGTTGAATACGTTTCGAGATCTTTGAGCTCCTTGAATCTAAAGATCTGTGTCTTTTCCTATACCTGGGAAGCTTTCTGCCACTATTTTGTTCAATACGTTTTCAATGCAATCTCCTTTTTCCTCCCCTTCTGGAATACCCATGACTCGGATATTTGAGCGCTTAAGGTTGTCTGATATCTCTCTTAGATTTTCTTCAATGTTTTTAATTCTTTTCTTTTTTTGTCTGCCTGTGTTATTTTAAGCAGCCCATATTCAAGGTCAGAAGTTCTCTCTTCTGCTTCTGCAAGCGTGCTGGTTAAACTCTCTGCTGTGTTTTTTTATTGCATTGAATGCATTCTTCAGCTTGGCCAGCTCTGCTACATTCTTTTTCAGGGCATTGATTTCCTTGTACATTTCTTCTTTCAGGTCCTGTATACTTTTCCTTGTTTCATCATTTTGTCCAGCTGAGTTTTCTTGTATCTCACTTAGTTTCCTTAGAATTATCACTCGAAATTCCTTGTCAGACATTTCAAGGGCTTCTTGTTCTATAGGATCTAGAGCTTGAGAGTTATTACCCTTTGGTGGTGTACTTTCTTGATTTTTCATATTTCTGGTATCTTTCCTTTGATGTTTAGTCATTGTGGCAGGGGATTTCACAGTCCACTGGTTTGACACTATTGTCTGGCTAGGATGCTGCTGGGGCTGCCAATTTGGTATGGCTGCCTCAGTGTCTGCTTTGTTGTCCACTAGTGCCTTGAGTGCATGGTTGCCTTGGGTCTTGGGCCTCTCCAGGGAGGCGCCTCTCTGGTCAGCATGCACTGGGCTGGGCTGGGGATGGAGTCAGGCAACAGCAGCGAGGCCTACTTGCTGGGTCACACACTGGCATTGCAGGGCGTGTGGTCTCTACGTATCTTCTGCTTCTCTGGTTGGGCGCCTCTCTGATTGGTGCACACTTAGCCAGGTTGGTGATGGAGTAGGGTGGCGGCAGCGAGGCCTACCTGCTGGGTTATATGCTGGCACCACAGGGCTGGAATTATTTTTCTTATTGTTTATTATGGGACTTTTCACCCAAACAGAAGTGAAGCAACAAGATGTGATGAAATTGGTGGAAAATCAGTTCAAAGAGATTGTAGAATGAGGTATTTCTTACTGGAATAAGCTTTTCATTTATGACTTCTGTTTTTTTATTTTTGTTTTATTGGTTAGTAAAGAAAATGTATGTTGTGTGTGCATGTAGTCTTTTATTTTTGATGCCTTTAATTTGGGATCAGTTCTGGTACATTAATTGTGAGTGTGAGAGTGTATAATAATATTTTGTTATTTAAATTAATTTTTCATTTGGTTTTGAAGATCTCAGGTACTCAGATATTTGTCGCTGTCATGTAGAGCTGCCATCTTGACCCTGAAGTGGAAGAAATTGTCTGGATCTGATAATTAAAAGGCTGGAGTTGAGCTTCCCCCTCACTTTCTCTCACTGTTTCTGAACTACAACTGCTATACCTGTTGTAAAGAACTTTAAAGGGAAGAGAAGAGCAGAATAACTCATTCTTTCCTTTACTGTCTTCATTCAGTGCATATATTTTGAGTTAGGGGCAGTTTGAGTAGAGAAAAAGAGAAAGCAAGGAAAGAAGAAGAAAAAATTCTTAGTAAGCTCCTACTATGCTCGTTTCATGAACTGCCAAATTTAGTAAGTAGAAGAGAATTGGTATGCATTTGAGAGGATTGAAACTTTTATTTACTTATTTTCTAGCTTTTCTGAATTAATGCATTCTTGACATATAATTTATATTAAATATATTTGTGCTAAAAATTGTAACCAAATCATATTTTATTATTTTTTATTTTTTTTAATTGTAAAAAACACATAACAAAACTTACCATTGTGCTCATTTTTTAAGCTTACAGTTCAGCAGTATTAACTATATTCACCCTGTTTGTGCCACAGATCTCTAGAACTTCTTCATCTTGGAAAGCTGAGATTCTATATCCGTTAAACAACTCTCTATTTTCCCCTCCCCCAAGCCCCTAGAAAGCACAACTCTACTTTCTGTTTCTATGAGTTTGACTACTTAAGATACCTTATATAAGTGGAATCATACAGTATTTGTCTTTTTTCACTTAGCATAATATTCTTGCTAAGTATTTGACTTATTTAGCTTAGCATAATGTTCTCAGTGTTCATCCATGTTGTAGGATGTGACAGGGTTTTCTTCTTTTTTAAGGTTGAATAATATTCCATTGTATGTACATGCCACATTTTCTCTATCTGTGCATCCACTGATGGACATTTGGGTTGCTTCCACCTCTTGGCTGTTATGAATGATGCTACAGTGGACATGGGTTTGCACATATTTCTTTGAGATCTTGCTTTCAATTCTTTTGCATATATACCTAGAAGTGAGATTCCCAGATCATATGGTAATTCTATTTTTAATCTTTTGAGGAAACTTCATGCTACTTTCTATGATGTCTAAACTATTTTACAAAGCTACCAACAGTGCACAAACGTTCCAATTTCTCTACATCTCCACCAACACTTGTTATCTTTTAATTTTTTTTTATCATGGCCACCCTAATGGGTGTGAGGTGATATGTCTTTGTAGTTTTGATTTGCATTTTCCTGATTTGTGACATTGAACATCTTTTCATATGCTTACTGGCCATTTGTATATCTTCTTTGGAGAAATGTCTGTATTTGATAGGGGTTTAATATTCAGAATATATAAAGAACTTCTACAACTCAACATCACCACCAAATAACCCAATTAAAAATGGCAAAGGACTTGAAGTAACCAAATTATTTATTAGTACTTTTGAGCATAATTCCTTCTAGTAAGAAGTAAATTTTGGTCCTAGGAGTACTATAGATGCCAGTTGGATTAGGCTGAAGTCCTGAAAATAAACTTTTCCCATCAAACCACCTTTTCTTTTTCAGTTCTTCATCCTTTCTTCTCCTTGGGGTCACCTCTTAATGAATGAGTACCCAAATCATAGCCTTCTCTATTACCAATAGAAAAAGAGTTGACAGTTACACATTTAGTCTTACAACTTAATATGAAACTGTAGTGGGGAACCCTGAACATTTTCTGATTGTTAAACCTGTCCCCTTTCACTGGAGAAACTGTTTTAGAAATTTTATGCTTGGCTGTCTTAATTGCAAACTTTAGCTTTTGTAACCTAGCTTGCTTCCTGCACCCATGCAAATTAGGTTCCAGAACTGACCAAGGAGCTATGTCTCATAGCCAACCAGTCCAGACTAACAGACTTTCACCCCTCATTTGCATAAGATGACCTAAATGAGAACTTGAATAGGAAGTTTTTGGCTATATAAGGTGGGCCTTTTCCTTCATTTGGGGAGACATGAGCTTAATGCTCATCCTCTCTTTGCTTGCAAACAATGAAGCGGAGAAACATCATAAAGAGTTGTAACACCAAAAAGAGCTGTCAACTATTAGAAGAGCTATAAAACCAACGTTGGTCTTGGATTCCTCTGTGCGAGTGCCTGACAACAAAACTGCTATATAGCTCTTGGGAAGAAGGGTGATCTTATAGGATATAGCACATTTTGACTATTTGAAAACAATAAATAGATGTTAAGCTCTAACGCTCTGTCCCAGCACTTTGCTAAGTACTGTTGTGGTTACAAAACAGATGCAGAATTGAATTCTGTTGCTTGAAATGTTACATACTGAAGCATTTACAGATATTGACAAGCTATGGTTCAGAATGTTTACTATAATGTTTGTAGTTTTTATTTTGTAAATGAAACAAATACTGAATAACAGAAGTGGTTACATTTCTATATTACATAGAGTTTATAAAGACTCAAGATGTTTCCTGTGCTACTCTTTGAGAAAGCTAGGCAGTGTGGAAAAACCATTTACTCTTGTGGGAGCTAAGGAATTGCTGTGGATTGATGTCTCCCCCACCCCCACCTCTCTAAACCTGGTCCCTACTGTGACAATGTAAAGAGGGTGGGAAATCCTATTATGGTGATTGAAATATAGGGCCTTGAAGAGGTGATTGGGCTGTAGGACCATGTTGTAGTAAATGGATTAATAATGGTGGTCAGGGATGTGGTTCTGAAGGTTTTAAAAGCAGAGGGCATAAGGAACTCTCTTTCTATCTGCTCCACCATTTTCTGCCATGTGAGAACCCAGCATTGCTGTAAAGCCACCTCCAAAGAAGACCCTTACCAGATGTGTTCCCTGGACTTCCTAGCCTCTGAAACTATAAGCAATAAGTTTTGTTTTCTTGAAAATTATCCAGTTCCAGATATTTTGTTATAAGCAACAGAAATGGACTAATACAAGAATCTATGGTTTACCTTGGGCATGTGATCCTTACATATGTGAACCTCACTTATTGCATATCTCACTGTCCCTGCATGTTTGGTGTACGTACGTATATGTTTGAGGGAGTGAATGGGGAAAGAAGTTAGCCATGCTTGGCAGCATCTGAGTCAGAATCTTTGAGTCATAAAGGACCAAGAGACTTTGAGTCATAAAGTGAGAGTGCTCTTCATTCATTACTGAAGATTTAAATGTCCTTGTGTTACCATTTCCTTTCAGCCTAGAGAAATTCTCATAGCATGTTTTTATAGTTTTGTAGGTTTATTGGTGATGAATTCTTTTTCTTTCTTCATTTGAACATGTCTTTATTTGTCCTTTATTCTTGTAGGATATTTTTGCTGGATATAGAGTTCAGGATTGACAGTTTTTCCCCCCTTAAGTGCTTTAAAGATGTTATTCCACTGTGTTCTGGCCTCCTTTGTTTTTAATTTAGTGATCATTCCTATTATGATTCTCCTGTACGTAATTTGTCATTTTTCTCTGGCTGTTTTGAGATTTGTACCTTTACTGTTTTGGTATGCAGTAGTTTTACTATCGTCTTCTTGGGTATAGTTTTTTCTTTGTTAATGAGGTTTACTTCAAAAAGCTCATGGAAAGATTCATATTTCTTTTCTTTTTAAGTTTATTTATTAAGGGGCCGGCCCGGTGGTGCACTGCTACAGTGCGCCGCTTGGGAGTGTGGCGGTGCTCCCGCCGAGGGTTCGGATCCCACATACAGACTGGTTCCCACTCATTGGCTGAGTGAGGTGCGGGTGCGACACCGAGGGTTGCGATCCCGTTGCCGGTCCCGGTCCGGTACAGGTGTGACACTGACGGTTGCGATCCATTGCCGGACACGAAAAAAGACAAAAAAGGAAAAAAAAAAGTTTATTTATTAATATATATTTTTACATTCTAAGGTGTTGTGGAGCAGTTAGGGGGAGGCAGAGAGAGAAAGGGGAAAGGAAATATGGTGGGAGGAAGAGGAAGAATAAGGAGGGGCTTGGTTGAGGCCTGTGGCACCCCCCTCATTCCTGCAGGGGAGACTAGGGGGCTTCCAGAGGTGGCTTGGTCATTGCTGGGCTGGGTGCAGATGTCAGTGGGGTTTGGCTGAAGCCCTCAGCTCCCCACAGCCCCCCCTTGGGAGACTAGGGGGCTTCCAGTGGTAGTTCGGTGGTTATCGCTGGGCCAGTTGTAGGTGTAGGAGGGCATGGCTGAAGCCCTCTATCCTCCACCGCCCTGGCTCAGGAACCCAGGGTGCTTCCTGCAGTGGCTCGGTGGCTGTTACTGGGCTGGTTGTGGGTGTCAGCTGAGGATCCTGTCCCTCCTCCCACCCAGTCCTTCTAGATTTTATAAGTGTTCTTTGGTGATGTGAGATCTTTAACAGTTAATATCAAATTTTGTCTCTAGTCTGTGGGTGTTTTGTTTTTTCTTTCAGTTTTGTGTTGGATTATTTGCTGTTCCCTCCACTTAAACTCTGCATCGGAATGAATTTGTTGTCCTTTGCTTACTTCTAGAATGGGGGAACTTCCTGTGGGGACTAGCACTTGAGCCCTGTAGTTGAGCTAAATTGTTGCTTTGCTGCTGATTATCTGGAGAAGGCTTTTTGTGCAGCTCAGGTTTTAATGGCTGACTTTATAGGTACTTTTGGGTCTCCTGAGATCTGGTACAACTGAGTTGTGCAGAAACTCTGGTCTGGACCTGAGTCTTTTCAGCAAACTGTACCCCCTGCAGTTCTATATTCCTCACCAGTCTCCACTGAGTGGTCCTGTGCTGGTTGGAGGGCAGATCAGCTGTCCATGCTGTGACCCAGTGTTCCCCCAGTGG